TCTTCATCGCGCTCTGGAGCATGAGGACCATCTGCATCGTGCTCTGGAGCATCAGGCCCTCGAGCGTCACCATCATCTCCATCTCCATCATGTTGATCTCCGTCATCTTCCCTGACGCCACCAGCAGGGTTCCATGCCATGTCGAGTTTTCCCCACAATGCTTGGAGAGCTGGGTCCTGATTTCACTCTTGATTGAAAGAACGTATGGATTCCATCTAAAGTGTCTTATTGGGGTGAATTGCATAAGAAAAGTTTCCCAATCCAAACCCAAGTTTCTTTAGGTTTGTCAGCGCCACCCAACCATCTTCGCAGCAAATGACTGAAGAGCTTCCGAATTCCCCAGGAGTCCATGTGTACGGTGGCCATGTCCATTGGCAAACCAAACAACTTCCTCCATTCAATCACCTGCAGGCGGCTTGTCATCCATTGATCATTTCCAACAAGTCCACCAAACATTGAACCGATCAATCCTTAAAAAATAAAAAATAACACACTACTCAGGTGAGGTAAACATGGGTAAACCAATGCGGCCTAAGGTTTGTTTACCAGTATAGGTGCTCTCCCTTACCCAAGCCTGTTTGCGAATGGCATCAATGGGAATTGCTTGAGGCCCCTGGCTCTGTGGTAAGAACCAGTCGGTTGTGATCTCCATCAATTTCAGGTTCAACTTCAGGTGGCCGCAATTGGCAAGCCCGACCACTGTGGGGTCATCCCACATAGTCAGGCACCCCTTGTTTCTGCCAACTTGTCTCATGACAACATCAGCATCCAACATCTCCGCGAGCGATGGCTGTGCCATCACGAGACCCCAAGTGCAGTCGATAGCAACTAGTCTTGATCCCACTAAATTGCTAACAAATATCGTTGTTTCAAAATTTCTGGTCCTGCAAACCCTCAAGCACACCAGCAGGTCAACTCATGCCAGGAGCACCCAAAGTGGGTCAGAGATCAGCACGTCATGGTGCTGCTTCGAAAGCGCTGCTCAATATTTGCCAATGACTTTGTGTTATTGTTGCTATTATCATTAGGTTAGGTACTTGTTGTGAATCATTGTATCAACTCCTCTAATTCTTTGTCTTATGACTTCTGGGTGGCAACAGTGTTTGCTTGAAACACCTGAAGATTGCTTTACTCCAGAAGAGTTCAACAAAACCTTAAAAGTGCTCGCGATCAAAAATAGATGCCGGCAGCAGAAAAACTTGCAAAAGCAAAAATTCTGCAGCCTTTGGACTTCCTAGGTATGGCCAAATGGGCCAAAAGATCGTTTTTCACTTAAAAACATCGTGGAACAAACAGACAAACATCGTATTGAAACACACATGGAAAGAGAACGTCAGTGTCGGATTCACCTGGCCTTCGCCTCTCGGCCGTCGATGTTCCAGTTCAAGTGCTGTCCCTCAGTGAGTTGACAGCGTGCCGTCGAAGACCAAAGCAAGGTCGACTTGGAAAGGAAAGCGGTACAGAATGCATTGGGCAAACACATCGTGAAATAGGCGGTGATGAAGACGGACCTAATACGGATCATCATCAGTTTTCTTCCAATCAAAGTCTCTCAATGGGGCTGAGAATTTTAGAGAGGTTTTTTTCGGACTCTTCACCCATTTCTGCGTCGCCATGTGCGTTTGGACTGACCACGGCGCCTCATCCGACCCGGGCTGCCGGGCGTGCAACATATACCGCATCGTCGGCCCCAAGAGCCGTGTGCCCGACACGGCATCCGGCCTATCAAGGAGATCAAAGGCATCACACTAATTAGGTGCCAAAAGGCCTACAGGGTGCAAGGGAACCCTTTCATTCTCTTTCATCTCACAAAAAGCGACTCAGCTCGTTTTGGGTCTCTTCCGAACTCGTTTTTGTCGCTCTAGTTTGCCCGTTTGGCATCACTGGGCCTTTCTGGATGAAGCACTTTGTCAGGTTCTCCATCCAGAAGGATCTGAAAGGCCTCAAACATCAAACACAACACCAACTAACGACACTTTTCAGAGGCATTGTAGTCAGTCAAATGAAAGCCTCCTGTCCTTCATAGAATGACTTAAGTATACTTAAGTGACATCTTGTGTCTCTTTAGTGGTGACTTGGAAAAGGGGAGTCGAAGCATGCCATGTTGAGATCTAGATAGAATCCATCAAAACTAGTAACAAGTGCCTTACTAGTAGTGACAAGAAGCTATTAGAAACAAGTGCATCGCTACTAGTAACACGTGTATTACTAGTAGTAACCAGAAGCTATTAGAAACAAGTGCATCGCTACTAGTAACAAGTGCCTTACTAGTATAGTAGTGACAAGAAGCTTTTAGTCAATTTATTTAATTCTAATAGCTTCTTGTTACTAGTAGTAAGGCACTTGTTACTAGAAGCGAGGCACTTGTTACTACAAACCGACGCCCGGCCTCTTGTCTGGAGTCTCCCAGGGTGACCTCACAACACTTGAGTCGGCGCGTAGGTCGTGACCGCGCCAGGCGGGCGAAGCGCGGTGCTTCTTCCGTCAGTGAACTGAAGCCATGGGAACGAACTTGGGAACCTAAGGACAATCGAACCTATGGATATGAAATGGTATGTATATAGATGAAGAGGTTCAAGATTGGAACAGCAATGAGAAACAATATTCGGTGCTATCCTTTCTCCTTGACTTTCTTCAAACGAAGTACGTCCACCGCTGTGAGCTTCTCACCTCAGCGGTGTAGGATCCGTCTTTCTGCTTCACCTCAGAGGATCGAACGGATCCCCGCAAGGAAGACGCGAACCGACGTAGAGAGTATATATCTATATATATAGTATATATCTAGACTTCTTTTGTGTCCATACTGTTCCTTTGTTGGGAGCTCTCGAATCTGAGGTCGTCTCCATTTCCTCCGGTTCTCTCCAGTTGCTCCAGGAGCCGACAATGAAATAGCCCTCCCCAAAGAGACGGATGTGTTTTGAAGACATTTTGAAGATTTCATCCAGCAAAATGGAGAAACCTCCGATCTACCCAAGGCTCAAAAGATGATGAGCGACACATCAGGCCTCGGATGCCTTGTAAACACTTTCCAGCATCCCTCCACCTGCCAGAACTGTGACTTGGAGGACAGGAAGAAAGATCATCAACGCCTATTCCATCCTTCCTCACCTCCTGGCCAATAAGCAAAGGCCGCCCGCTCCATCTTTGGCTTGAAAATGGGCACCTCATGGCCACATCACTCCACCGAGCTTCGAAACGTTCCGGAACCCTTTGTCGTCTACTCTCGGTCCGGTCCATGGCAGACTCAGGACGACACGCGACTGCCGTCGGCGGAGTACCAACAAATCATGTTGATCTGGCGGGTCCAAAGATCAACAGAAATCCGATCCTTTTCTGAACAGAACAGGATCATCACGTGTGCAACTAACTAATGAGGTATTGAAACATATTGAAACATGTGACTCTATAGGTGTGGCGCTTGCTTCCTCTCTCTGGTGAAAACATGTGAAAGCACATCATTGCCATGTACTTCTGAAGTTACAATCAAAGAAGAAACCTGCGGACCTCGAAGAAGGTGATCTGTCCAAACAGGTCGGATCGACGTTGGTACCACCGAGACCACGGGTGCCGCAGCCATGGAAGGCACGGCTATCTCGGTAGGCCAGCGCCTCGGGTCGAGGTCGAAGCCGCTTCGTGGGTCGCTTCGGGGTCGGTGGAAGCGTGGCCCACCTCGCTGTTGAAGCAAACGGCGCTGTCTCCGGTCCTCGACAGGGTCGGGTGCGGAACGGTGGAAAGCGGTTTGGGTCGCCGCCAAGGAGGTGTGGAGAGTGGAGTTGGAAAGCGGAGGAGTCGAGGGTGGAGAGGGGAGTTGGAACACCTGGCTTTTTTGCCAGATACGTTTGTCCTTCAATGTGCACATTGAATGTACACGAAGGATACGACCGGATGAGCGAGGCCCGACCGGGCGCCCCGACTCGATGTGCGGATTCAACTGCTTCAAATGCAGCGTTGGCGCCTCAAATGCCGACGGTCAAGTTGGGCAAAGCCATTGATTGGTCGAGTGGTCAAGGCTGGAGGCAAAATGGCTTCTGAAATTGCTGGGAGCCTGAAGGTGGTTTCATCATTCTAGAGGGTCTGCTGACAAAGTCAAAAGTCTCATATCTGAACAAACATCACACCCACAATTACATGCTCTCACTCTTTCTGTTTGCCTTTGCGAGTCTGTCCGTTGAAAGACTTGCGTCCAACAGGCGCAAGGCAGGGTGGCTTCATCGTTCAGCCTTCTCACATGACTAGGAGGCAGGCATTGTTGGCGTAGCTAATGTTGTACAGCACCTTCCCACGGTCAGCACTCACAAAATCGCAGGTCTAAGCTGGTCTGAAGTTACCCATCACTGCTATGCCGTCGGGACATGTATATTCTTTTCTTTTCCTGGCAACCCAAAAATGGAGCTCGGAGAAAAACTTTGGCCTTGAGGAAGGATGAGATTCCACAGGCTTCTTGTTGCACACCAACCTCAGACCAAAGAGAAATCTGATTGCTCGTCCATTGGGCTTTTGAATGCTTTGATGGCAATTCTCAGCAACTCAAGACTTGCGTAGCTCCGAGTCGCCGGCATTGGTCTTTACACTACCAAGGATGAGCATCTCTCTGTCACCGCCTCAAACCAGCTTGTGCATGGTCAACTGGATGACAACATCTCCATAGAGAGATCTCATACCCAAATTAAAGGGACATTTACAGTAGATCCCGGCATGTTACCCCCGTTTTGTAGTTTATCATTGAATGCGGAAAATGGACCCACCGAGGATTCATGAACAGCAGTTTGCCGATTGATGGGACCATCAAGGCCTTTGTTTGCATCGACGACGGGAGCTCCGGATTCTGTCGGATCGCTGCGCCTTCAATGCCGCGGCACACGGTGGTCGCGGAAACGACCTGATCGATCGGCAGAGATGCACTTGTTCCTAATTAAGGCACTTGTAAGGCACTTGTTACTAGTAGCTTCTAGTAAGGATCTAGTAAGGCAGTTAGTTACTAATAGCTTCTTGTTACTACTAGTAAGGCACTTGTTACTGGGCAGAACCCGGTCGGTGCCAAAGCGGTTTGAGCCCTGCCATCCGCCACCCGCGCCTCGACTCCATCTGAGAGCAAGGAGCCTGCTGCGTGGCACCTGTCAAGAATCTCGACAGCAACAACTGGGCAAACCAACATGAAATTATAGCTAATAGCTACTAATAGCATCTAACAGCTGTTCTTGTTTTGCTTTACATTCCCTTTTTTTTCCATGTATTCTTATGTTTTTGCCTTCGACATCGTTCCACGCAGATCGCGTGTTCCAACCACTTCGACCCCTTTGTCTTCGTCCTTCCAGTGCTCCTGGCTAACTCTCGGTGCAGCCGAAGCGCTCCATGGCGTCTAAGTCCAAGGGTGAAATCCCCGCGTGGCGAATGGCATCGGCAATGGCCTTGCGACGAGAGACGAGACGAGAGACGGAAGGCGACCAGTGCTGGGTTGGAGGTCTTCAAGCTTTCGATAAACAACCTCCAGCTTGAAGACTCCAGGGGAAAGTCTTCCAGTGCAATGTTTTGAAGCTTCTATTCTTTGGCTACTCTTCGCAGCCAAAGGGAACATCCCGGTGGAGCACGTTTTCATATTTGGCGGCATCTTTCCCAAAAAACCCAAACACATCGACATCAACCCCTCCAAAAGGGGACGAATCACTTGTCAACGTCTCCGTGCGTCGTTCCGCCGCACACGTCGCACGCGTCACTTGAGCGTCTCCGAAACGGCCGTCGTCGTCGGGCCTCTTGTTCCGCGGGTCCACTGGGTGCGTGAAGCCCGGCCGAGCGGCCGTTGTTGGTCATGCGCCAACCCACCATGGTGCCTCGGAGAGGAACAACTTCTTTCACGGCTCGTTGTGTGAGAGGAAACAAATGACGGCGGGTGAGATGATGTCAAAAATGTATTCTTTTTGCATCCAAGACATCCAAAACAAGAACTAGGAGACCCCACATGTACCCCTCCCTCTGATGCCATAGCTTTGAAGCCGACGCTGGGAGGCTACCACTTCATCAGCTCCACTGGTCAACATACATGGGGTGATGTCAGATGACTGGCCACCAGTGGACTGAATGGATGGAGTGCCTCACCCGTCCGTGCCACCCGGTGGGTTCCCTGACCGATGCAGGGTCCCTCGATGACGGAGAGCTCACCAGAGACTTTCTCCGCATAGGGCTTCAAGGCGGCCTTAGAGGGCCGAGCAACTGGCCACACGGCCGGATCTGACAGAGTTGTTCTATTTGTTCCATCCACATGCCTTCCGCCAAAACTAAGCAACATCATTGATGGAGATATTGCGTGATACAAGTCTACACATTAATTATAAAGTTCTTTTAACAGTGCAACATGTTCTAAATCGAATTGTTTTGCCCGAAGCGAGTCTTCAGGCGCCCGGCGCTGGCGCAGCATTCGCCCCGCACGTAGCCGTTGGAACACTGGGAGCGGCTTGACACAAGAACAACACAGAAAACACAGAGCAAACGTGCTTCAAACGTTTGGTTCCAAAGAAGGATCATGCTTTTATAATCTTGTAAGTAGTTTGCGCACTGGGCCAGTTGAGCTGAGTAGCATTGGAGTTTTTACAGCTCGGATGTAAAGTCTTCTGTCAGTCCTCAAATTACGCATTCATCTTCATTCAATTTGCATTGTCATGTTTCTTTCATTTCTCTTTTTCTGTTTACTGATGTTCCTTGCAAGTACAAGCTACTTTTTCTATCTTTTTATTCGTCTCTCAATCGTTTCCATCAGTTTGGTTTTCGTCGACCCCAACTAAATACCACACCCGAATGAACTCATGCGGACATTTTGGGCCTGGTCGAACGAGAAGCAGCGACCATTTGGGTTCATGTAGGCATTAAATCTTGGCCTCGCGTTCAACTCCAAGCGGATGCATGCGGTTGCAGTAGCATGATGAAGTTGACATGGACTACCATGGGAGTCCTTGGCACTTGGTAGCTTCACTATACATAAGTCGTTGAGTCTCTCAATGGACGTGATGTGAGGGACATGAAGATTCGAAACATGTGAGTCAAGTGGAGTTTGTTCGCTTCACCCGATGCCCTTTTACTAATAGCTTCTTTGCTCCTAGTAGCGTCCTTGCTCCTAGTTGGATCCCTCTGGGCCATCTTTCGGCCGATCTGAGCCACCCGGCCACATGAATGGCGTCATCTGCAAGAAGACGCCACCACAAATGGCAGCCTTCGTGCTTCACTCGTAATTGCTAGGCCCGGGTCATACGAGCACAGGCGCTGCAGAATGCTCTGGAAAGTAAAAGAGTACGGACCCAAAGGCACTGGCGCCACATTTGATCTACCTCTTCACACAATGTATCTTTCATAGACCAGGGCATCCTTTTCGTAAATGGGATGCTGGGATGCCCATCTTTTCACTTCCAAAAAAAGACACCCCCAAAAACCTTTGAAACCTTTTTCCTCCTAACAAAAACACCCGTCAAACAACAACTGGATCGAACAAATGAACACATCTTGGGTCTATCCTAATACCTGTAACAGTGGATGATAATGGTTAGTAAAGGCCTTGTTCAAAAATAGTAATATTTGTTTATTGACTGTCCAGGTATATAAACACAGTGTTCACCTGACTGTACAGGTATATAATTGCTTACTGACTGTACATTGTTCACCTGTTTTGATATATAATAGGACAGACTAGAAGCGTGGCACTTGTTACTAGTAGCTTCTTGTTCCTACTAGTAAGGCA